AACTTATTTTTTATTGATAAAATACTTAAAAATAAATAATCTCTCTAAAATTAATGTTAGAGAACATCTTAACAATTTAATATAAGATTTATTTCACACCACATAAATAGCCTAAAATTTATTATTTTAAGTCATGCATTTATTATTTCAAATTTTTTAAAGTTAAAATATATATTTTTTATTTTTTTCAGGAAATTTGCATTATTTATTTATTTATATATAAACAAAATTATTATTTTATCTTTTCTCAATCATATATTATTCTCAAATTTTAATTTTTATGTTTGAGTAATTAAACTTTTAATCGATGCATACTTAAAAAAACGCAGGTTAAAATTTCTTATATGATTTAAAATATTAAAAAATAAAAATAAAAGTAAAAAGAACTTAATCGCCTTACACAACAAATTAAAATTAGGGAATGAAATATTGAGAAATTATTTGAGAATAATAAAACATTCAAACAATCTGTCATTCTTACACCTAAAATTAAAATTAATCTTTATTTGAATAGAGAAATTATTTGAGAATAATAAAATACTCGATTAATTTGGTGTGTATGATACTTAAAATATATTTCTCCATCTTTATTTATCTCATTTAAACTATTTTTATTAAATTAAATCCTAAAATTTATTTCTCACCTTCATTAATGGTTGAGTTTTTATTTTATTTTCTGCTTATAAAAGTTCAAAAACTTGTTGTGGAAAAAAATAGAGTCAAGAAATTATATTTATATTTTTAAAAAAAATTATGAAAGATAAATAATAATTTCATATATATTTAATAGGGTAAATTAAATTACATTTATATATATTTTTTTCTTTAGAAAATATTTTATTCCGTTGTGTGTTTAAATTAATATTAAAATATAATTTCTCAATCTTGTTAATAAAATTATACGAGTATTAGATATATAGAAGAAGTAAAATTAGATAATTTAAATAATAACACTTCGTTATAAATAATAATAATAGAACAAAACAAATGTAGGAAATTAAAAAATAAAGTAAAAATTTAACCATTAATGGAGGTGAGAAAAAAATTTCAAGATTTAATTTAATAAAAATAGTTTAAATGAGAAAAATAAAGATGAAAAAATATATTTTAAGAATCATGCAACAAATTAATGAAGTATTTTAGTATTCTAAAATAATTTCTCCATTCAAGTAAGGATATTCAAGTAAAGATTAATTTTATTTTTAGGTGTAAGAAATGAGAATTTGTTTGAGTTGTTTATTATTCTTAAATGATTTTTTGATCTTTCATACCCTATTGACTAATATTAATTTATTGTGAGACGATTATATATATTTTTTTACTTCTATATTTATTTTTTTATTTTTTAATCATGTAAGAATAACCAGTATTTTTTTAAATATGTAATGACTCGAAATTTATTGACTCAAAGATAAAAATTAAAATTTGTTAATAATATCTTAACAATGTAGTAATTTTTTTTTTTTAACATATGAATAAATAAGTAGCACAAATTACTAGAAAAAAAAATCCATTTGTTTCAACTTAAAAAAAGAAAAGAAAAAAGAAATTAAATAATAAATACATTAATTAAAATTGATATATATTTCGTTGTTTATATAGGGTGAAATAAGTCTTATAAATATTGTATTAATTATTAGGCACTACAAGAAATTGCACTTTTGGCGACTAAATTTTTTATCGCCAAAAGTAAGGTTTTTAGTCGCCGAAATATTTTCCTGACTAAATATTTTGGTCGCTGGATTTGTCGCAGGAAGATTGTCGGGAAGGTATTGGTGACTAAAAAATATTTAGTTGCCAAAAGTCCTATAAATGGCGACTAATGTTTTAGTAGGCAAAAGTAAAAGCTATTAGCGACAAAACAACCTTTTGCCGCTGATGAGGCAAATTGGCAACTAATCTGTTAGTCGCCTAAAGGCTACTAATTTAATTTAAATCACATTTTCAGCTACTAAAATTTTTTGTTGTCAAAAATTCAAGTACTTAGGGCGAACAAAGTTTTAGTCGCCAATAGATTTTCTTGTGCATCTACATTTTTTTAGCTACTAAATGTTTAGTCGTCGAAAGTCCGATTTCTTGTTTAGCTAGTACATAGGTTAGTCAGCCAAAGTCTAAATTTTTTTTGGCTGCCAAAGGTTTTGTCGCCGATAATATAATTGTTATGTTTTGGCGACTTAATATTTAGTCGCCAAGGATTTAATTCTTTTTTCGCTACTAACTATTTAGTTACTAAAAATATTTAACTCCATTTTTGGCTACCAATTGTTTTGTCGCCAAAAACAACATTTTATTTTATTTTTCATTTTAATTAATTTTTCCATAACCTGTATCTATCCACCGCAACCTGTAATAGATATACAAACAAAACAATATGTATATATTATCACTCATTCCATAACACATATTTCACTTACAACCATCAAACAAAAAAGAATACCTTTTAATTTAAACTTATATACAAACCAACTATATATATTCCAGTTAGAAAGAATAACGTCATACATAACAAATAAGCATACCAAAAATTATTATTTACCCCGCCAAAAATTATATGTACGATTCATTCAAATTCCGCACAAAAAGCAAAGGACGACAAAAAGCTTCTCAACTGTTCAAAAGTCTAAATTATCCTCCGTACAAAAAAATGGAAGATCCACATGTCAATGCCAAAAGCCATCTACAAAACAAATATTACATCCATTAGTTCCATATAGCATTTCAACATAAGACCACGCAAAAAAAAAAAAAGTTAATAGATCTGTAAAGGGATTTTTTCGTTTTTCATTTTGAATTTTTGGCTGAGGCGGTTTCATCCCTCAATCATAATATTTTGAAAATGAAATTAACATTATTGAAATGTTAGGAACCAAAACAACGCAAAATGCACAGGATTAAAAGTCCATTGGCATCCAAAAAATGACAATCAATGTAAGGTTGTGCAGCATATATATTCAACAGTTATGAGGAAAAATGTAGCCCCTCAAAAAGGACAATCAATTTAAGGTTGTGCAGCATATTGAGCAGTGATGAGAAAACATGTAGCCCTTAAAAAATTACAATCAATGTAATGTTGTGCAACATAGTCAGCCTCGAAAGGCCTTTTTCGACTAAGTCTATGGCGTTTTTTACGCCAACTCCTAACAATCTAAGCCTCTCATCATATTCTAGAGAATTCGAAGTTGTTCTTCAAGGATCTTCGAAGATCTTCGAATTTTCCAACTCCTTTCTTGAACCCTCTCCTACACGGAATAAGTAAAATTAGATAATTTAAATAATAACACTTTGCTATAAATAATAATAGAATAAAATAAAGATGAGAAATTAAAAAATAAAGTAAACCATTAATGAAGGTGAGAAATTAATTTTAAGATTTAATTGAATAAAAATAGTTTAAATGAGAAAAATAAAGATGGAGAAATATATTTTAAGTATCATACAAAAATTAATTGAGTATTTTAGTATTCTAAAATAATTTCTTCATTCAAATAAAGATTAATTTTAATTATAGTTGTAAGAAATGAGAAATTGTTTGAATTGTTTATTATTCTTAAATGATTTTTTGATCTTTCATACCCTATTGACTAATATTAATTTATTGTGAGACGATTATATATATTTTTTTACTTCTATATTTATTTTTTTATTTTTTAATCATGTAAGAATAACCAGTATTTTTTTAAATATGTAATGACTCAAAATTTATTGACTCAAAGATAAAAATTAAAATTGGTTAATAATATCTTAACAATGTAGTAAATATTTTTTTTTTTTTAACATATGAATAAATAAGTAGCACAAATTACTGGAAAAAAAAAATCCATTTGTTTCAACTTAAAAAAAGAAAAGAAAAAAGAAATTTAAATAATAAATACATTAATTAAAATTGATATATATTTCGTTGTTTATATAGGGTGAAATAAGTCTTATAAGTATTGTATTAATTATTAGGCACTACATGAAATTGCACTTTTGGCGACTAAATTTTTAGTCGCCAAAAGTAAGGTTTTTAGTCGCCGAAATATTTTCCTAACTAAATATTTTGGTCGCTGGATTTGTCGCAGGAAGATTGTCGAGAAGGTATTGGTGACTAAAAAATATTTAGTTGCCAAAAGTCCTATAAATGGCGACTTATGTTTTAGTAGGCAAAAATAAAAGCTATTAGCGACAAAACAACCTTTTGCCGCTGATAAGGCAAATTGGCGACTAATTTGTTAGTCGCCTAAAGGCTACTAATTTAATTTAAATCACATTTTCAGCTACTAAAATATTTTGTTGTCAAAAATTCAAATATTTAGGGCGACCAAAGTTTTAGTCACCAATAGATTTTCTTGTGCATCTACATTTTTTTAGCTACTAAATGTTTAGTCGTCGAAAGTCTGATTTCTTGTTTAGCTACTTCATAGGTTAGTCGGCCAAAGTCTAATTTTTTTTAGTTGACAAAGGTTCTGTCGCCGATAATATAATTGTTATGTTTTGGCGACTAAATATTTAGTCGCCAAAGATTTAATTCTTTTTTCGCTACTAACTATTTAGTTACTAAAAATATTTAACTCCATTTTTAGCTACCAATTGTTTTGTCGCCAAAAAAAACATTTTATTTTATTTTTCATTTTAATTAATTTTTTCATAACCAGTATATATCCACCGCAACCTGTAATAGATATACAAACAAAACAATATGTATATATTATCACTCATTCCATAACGCATAATTCACTTACAACCATCAAACAAAAAAGAATACCTTTTAATTTAAACTTATATATAAACCAACTATATATATTCCAATTAGAAAGAATAACGTCATACATAACAAATAAGCATACCAAAAATTATTATTTACCCCGCCAAAAATTATATGTACGATTCATCCAAATTCCGCACAAAAAGCAAAGGACGACAAAAAGCTTCCCAACTGTTCAAAAGTGTAAATTATCCTCCGTACAAAAAAATGGAAGATCCACATGTCAATGCCAAAAGCCATCTACAAAACAAATATTACATCCATTAGTTCTATATAGCATTTCCACATAAGACCACGCAAAAAAAAAAAGTTAATAGATCTGTAAAGGGATTTTTTCGTTTTTCATTTTGAATTTTTGGCTGAGGTGGTTTCATCCCTCAATCATAATATTTTGAAAATGAAATTAACATTATTGAAATGTTAGGAACCAAAACAACGCAAAATGCACAGGATTAAAAATCCATTGGCATCCAAAAAATGACAATCAATGTAAGGTTGTGCAGCATATATATTCAACAGTTATGAGAAAAAATGTAGCCCCTCAAAAACGACAATCAATTTAAGGTTGTGCAGCATATTGAGCAGTGATGAGAAAACATGTAGCCCTAAAAAAATTACAATCAATGTAATGTTGTGCAACATAGTCAGCCTCGAAAGGCCTTTTTCGACTAAGTTTATGGCGTTTTTTACGCCAACTCCCAACTTACGCGTGCTAATTACATCCCGTCTATCCCCACAGGTCCTATTTGACACGAGGAAGCTACCCGTGGCATCCGTAGAGTGGTTCGGGGGCTGCTTTAAATTTTCGGCTCCAAAAGGCCTTTTTCGGCTAAGTTTATGGCGTTTTTGATGCCAACTCCCAACCTGCACGTACTAATTACATTCCGTCTGTCCCCATAGGTTCTATTTGACACAAGGAAGCTACCCGTGGCATCCATAGAGTGGTTCGGGGGCTATCATGAATTTTCGGCCCCAAAATGCCTTTTTCGACTAAGTTTATGGCGTTTTTCACGCCAATTCCTGACCTACATGTGTTAATTACATCTCGTCTTATCCCCACAAGTCCTATTTCACACGAGGAAGCTACCTGTGCCATGCATAGAGTGGTTCGGGGGCTGTTATGAATTTTCGGCCCCAAAAGGCCTTTTTCGACTAAGTTTATGGCGTTTTTCATGCCAACTCCCAACCTATGTGTGCTAATTACATCCCATCTATCCCCACAGGTCCTACCCATCTGTCCCCATAGGTCCTCAGAATTAATCGAGGTGCGCATAAATTGATCCGACCACAAAATTATCCCAAAAATATATACATATATATCACTTTCTAAACAAATCCTAATTTTGGTGTTAACAAATGCACTATGATTGTTCTTAAGTCAGCTGTTAAAGTGGTTAAATGTCAATATATCACTTTCTAAACAAATTCACAAATTGCCATCCCTATAAGCACCAATACACTCACTAAACACTGCATTTCATACCAACTCATTTCAACAAGCAAAGGAAAGTTGGCAAGTGGTTCCCAATCCTTTATGGCTCTGAGCAAATTCACAAATTTAATACACATTTTCAATTTTTTTATAGAAAAGACTGACAAGCATACTTATCTTCAAGAAGGTAAATTATTCACACTTCTCTACAGATGTTGGCACACTGGCAAACCCTGTTGAACCTAATCTCAGAGCTCTTCCTTATTTTAATGGCCTATTTTGTTTAATCTAGAGCAGTCTAGTCCCATGATTTTAGAGGCCTCTAGCTTCAGAGGCCATTTTAAAATAAGTGTAGAAGTAATTAGCTATGTTAAGCCTAGGCCTCTAGTCCCATGATTTCAGAGTCCTCTAACATCGAAAATGCCATTAAGCTGGTTGTAGCTCAATACATTGCCACCATATGCCAAAAACAAATTGGCTTTTTATTATAATGTTCATTATACAAGTTATTTAAGCAGAATCAATTATGTTAAGCCTAGGGAGGTTACATCTTACTTTGGATTCTAAAGCATTATATGAAATGTAATGCCAAATGAGATTGAACTAAACTTTACAGAGCCTACAATTGAGGAAGGCTGAAGAGAGCGACTGGAATTTGACCTTGAAGTCTGCAGTTTTCCATCACTCTGCAAGTACAAAGTTAAAGTAATATGTTTACCATAGTTGGGAGTACATTGATGAAATAACAAAGGATGGAAATACAATATCAAACTATGCGAGTTGGGAAATTAAGAAGATGTTATGCAACTTGGAGTAAGAAGTGGAAAGGCTCCTCATGTTCTGTAATATTGATTAGTTAGTTTCATGACATCTACGAGCACAGTGTAAAGTTAGAATGTTCATCATATGCAAATATGACAGTTAGAAATAGTGATGATCATATATTGCCTCTCAAGTATTGTCTATTATGCTGTATAGTCCTGATATTTTCAATCATTGCAGACTTTGAAGTCCTTCACTAGCTTTATATTTCTAGAATCTTGGTAACATGTACTTTGATGATTTTATTCTTAAATTATGGGTGAATGACCAAGCTTGTAAAATAAAGTCCATGGCATAATCAATATTTGTTTAAAGGTTGCCAACTCATATATCAATTTCATCAAAAATAGTGATTAATGATACATATTTTGGGCCTTGTTGATCTCATGGATTATGACATTTGATGTGGCTTAGAAATGAGAACTGTTTCACATAAGAATGCAAGCTTTTTATTATGGCACTTTTCAACTGTAAACAACCTTGACTTCTTTTAAAAGGGAAAAATCACAAAGCACATCAAATATTAAGGAAAATGACATACTTGAGAAGCATTGAATATGTTGAGACTTACATGTTAAAATCTGGAATAACAACAATATTGAAGAGATCCAGGTCACACTCAAGACCAAATCTGCAAAACAATTTCAAAAGTAGGACTGACCTTCCCGACTACTACTTACAGTACACTAGAGTGGATGGCCTTCCCCATTAATTCCACCTACCAAACGAATCAAACTGAAATGTCAATCAAACACCACCTTTTTTTTTTTTCTCAAACCCAATTCAACTCTCTGGCCCTTGGTAGGAAAAAGGAGAAATAAAAAATCGAGATAGATATAGAGGTCAACTAACGAAAAAAAATAATTGATAGTAGTAGTGAATAAAAATTTTAGACATAAATTGATTGATTGAATAGCAAAGTAGAGTAGCGAAGCGAGAGTAGCATTTGGTATCACTATGATGCAGCAAACCTCAAATAATTCAGACATTCCAAGTTATGCTAGCAAAAAATATTTAGAAAGGTGTAAGGAAAATGCAGTAATTGAGTTGTAATACAGGAACAAAATAAAAAAATAAAAACTAAAAACCTAGAGTCCAAAGACTAATATTGTTGCCACCCAAACTTGCAAGAATAGAAAAACCATTACTCTTACAAATCAGAAGGTTAAAAGCCTCACAAATTGCACAAGAATTATGAATCCCTCAATTTAGATCTTAATTAATTCAAATTGACATTGGTTCACCTTATCAACGAGATCATAAATATATATAAGTTTTGAATCCATGTTTCAGCCTAACTTCTAAGACCTGGTTCTCTGATCTTCAGGCACACCAAGGCATATCACAAGATGAGAAAGGGTTAGTGTGCAAATACCTCAACTGCCAAAAACTATCACAAGAGATGTACATTGAAGCAGTTCAGAATGAGTTGATGCCACTACGTCTGATTGTCCAGGCACTTTTTGTTAGCAACTAAACATGCACAAAGCCTTCAAAGAATGCTCAGACTCATTTAGGTATGCACATTGTGGGGAATTCTCCGGTAGCCTCTTAAGCTCGAGATATGCAAACTCCAAAAGCCAGACCTACGCGAGAGTCCATATATAGACGGAGGCGAAGCAGTCAATAGTAGACCCCTCTGCTTCTTGCTACAAAAAGATGCAGCAATTCATAGGTCTGAGTTGTCGAGGAAGGAATACGAATCCACAAGCTTCAGAATTCAAAGTCTTCAATAAGAACTCATGTCCTTGAAGAAAAGCCTTCAAATACAGAACATCTCTACAAAAAAAGAACTGATTCTAAAAAAATCAGAACCAAATTCTACTAATCTGCAGGCTTGAGGCCTTATGGTTTGGAGGGAAGAACATTGAGCAAGAAGAGAAACCCACTTGGACAAGCGAGTGCTTGCATTGGTTTTGTGAATTTTGCTTCCTACAGAAAGTATGCGAGCAGGTTACTGAAGGTGTTTCGTAGAATAAGTTTATTTCAGAGAGGGAAATCAAAAAATAAGCCAAGTGCCTCTGCTCTATGGCCCTAGTTAATGTAACACCAGAACTATATAGGTTTGTGATGTATGACAACTAAATCAGCAAAAATAGCTAAATTTAGCCAATGATCAAATATATTGAGTTTTCATACATTCAAATAAGCATATTTAAGTTCATTCCAACATGACATATATAACTGAGAACTGACTATTAATTACTCTCATTCATACAAGTATGTATGCAATTATATGTATGCAAATGCATAATATGTGCATTTATGCTTGTGTCATGCATTTGTTCTATACTTTGGCAATATTTAACATTTAGTGACCAAAAAGGAAAAAAAAGGGGGGGAAAAAAAGGGGGAAAAAAAAAAGAAGAGTTAGAAAGAACAAAGCTACGAGGGTACACACATGCAACTCATTACTGATAATAAAATAGGTGAGTGGAAATGTATGCTTTCCACCACATTGACAGAGGCGTTCCACAATGAAAAAACAATGTAATTTCAATAATTTAGCCCAACCACTTAACATGATTTATTGAATTTCCTAATTAGACTTGATTTCATCTTCCTATGCATTACAAAAATGTAAATAATTCTATATACTTTCTGCATTAGATAGCAATTTTTTTTAAAAAAAGTTTTTAAGAGAAAATGAAAGCGCAGCATTCCCTTCAACAGGTTAATTCTATTTCAAAAGGGAACAAAAAGCTCAAAAAGTAAAAATGGTTTTTTTGTTGAGCCAGAGTTTAGTGTTAGCAGGATTATAATATCTCTCCATTGTGGAAAACCAAACCAGCTTATAAAATTCTATATTAATATAAAGGGTTCAAAATGCCTTAAAAAGGCCTTGGAGCAAAAAATCAAACACAGGTGTCCATCTTCTCAACTACTCCCAAACAAAAAAGCGAAACAATATAAAATTATAAAAGCTTAGTTTACTACATTAAACAAGCCAATAGACAATTTTGCAAATTATGCAAAAGAGCTTTCCAATAATAATGGAAAAGCTTCGCTCAACATCACTGTTAAGTTTGTGTTTGTTTCTCCAATCTAGAATTGAGGAATAATGCAGACTTTGAGATGTTAAAATGCTTTCTATAACAATACACTAACAACCCTTCCCCACCCCCTCACCCTAACGTTTCCCACTGTTTAATCAAATGTATCTGAAATGTAGGTTCCAGAAGAGTGGGTGGAGATTATCAATTAATTATTGAAAACTTGATTTTGTAGTAATGTCAAAGCTGGTCCAATCGGAATATGAGATGTGTCTAAATAGGGAGTTACCAATAGCGATCACATTTCTAAATAGACAGTTAGCAAATTTTCACATACAGATACAACAATGTAATCAGAGATGGCCACAAGAATGTTGCCTGCCAAATGTTGAACACATTGACTCTTAATTAGTAGCAGAAGTATATGTAAGGAAACATCAAGAACTGTTATACGCTAATTACACACTTTTACCCCCACAAGGCTGCTAAGCTAATACTCCATCCACAGATGATGTAAATCAGACAACATTTCACACTTTATACCCAAATCAATAACTTCTTTATGTGAGAAGAGATATAAAACATCTATTGTATTATATGAAATGGTTAGAAGAACCCAAAACCAGCCTCAAACCACAATATTTTGAGCTTAGTTTAATACCACAAAATTCCATGAGAAATAATCATAAAAGGGAAGCAAATAAATTCTTTACTAATACGATCATAGCATCAAATTTCAATTCAAATAATCAGAATACATACATAATCAATGAGCAACCATACATGCAAATACATACATAATTTGAAACTAATGAGCAGCCATACATGGAAATATATACATAATGAGTCGAATTAGGGCTTTGAGCCTAATGAGGGAGAAAGGAAAAGAGGGGAAAAGGTATCAAACCACTTAAATCAAACCTATTTACCACATCAAACCCAAAACGTGTTCGTATTGCAGCGGTGGCCGTGGTGATTTGCAGCGGTTGCGATGTGCTACGGAAGTGAGCAGGTCAGCACGGTCCGGATTGGATCGGATTGGGATAAAATTAGGACCAATCTGTTATCTACAGTTCTTAAAAAATTGGAACCAATTCAATCCATTTAAATCATGGAATCAATCCGAACCAATCCATTTAAACACAGATTGGATCGGTTTAGGACCACGGATTCACATAATTAAATAACAAAAAAATATATATTTAACACTTTAATTTCTTAAAAATATAAACATAGCGCTATATTAGTTTCACAATAGCAACATGTTTTTCTATAATAACGACATGCTGTTTTAGAATTTAAACAACATTAAAAAAACTGGTTTCACCATAAGTATTTAGACCATTACAAATTAAAACTAAAAACTAACAAACAAAAGCAATAAAAGAAGATATTATACGAATTTAGGTTTGAGTTTAGGTTTTATATAGAATAAGATAAGATATTATGGGAGAGGATGTATAATAAAAATATAGACTATTTGTATACGGTCCAGATCAGTTCCAATCCGGAACCGTGGGGTTCAATCCGGAACCAATCCGTGGACTACGGATTTTTAATTCTTCAATCCGGAACCGAACCACGAATTCAAAAAACCAATCTAAACCTATTAGATTTAACTGAATTTGATCGAATTACGGATTTCACGGATTCCTTGCTCAGCCCTAGTGAGCAACAGTGGTGAGTGACTTTGGTGAAGTGAGGAGGTGAGGTTCTCTGTGTAAGAAAGAAACAGTGGAAAGGGACTAAAATATGGGTGCCTAAATCTAGGCGCCTAAAATATGTTCACACTAATATTTTAGTCGCAATAAGTTTACTATTAGGCGACTAATTGTTCTTTTGTCAGAAAAAATTGAGTATACCGCGACTAAATATTTTTTCGTCGCCAAAACTGCATATTTGCCGATCAAATTCTTAGTCGCCAAAGAGTAATAGTGCAAATGTGGCTATTATTTGGTGACTAAATTTATTTTAATCGGCAAAAATTAGTATACTACAACTAAAATAAAATTTAGTAGCTAAAAAACTAGAGTAACGGCGACTAATAATTTTTTTAGTCGCCTATTGTGAAAAATTTGCCTACTAATGTTTTTTTTAGTCGCCAATAAATAATATACGTTGACTAAAATATTTTAGTAGCAAAAACTTGAACCAACAGCGACCAAAATAATTTTTAATAGCCAAAAATTGAACTTTTGGCGACTAAATCGCTTTTAGCTGCCGAATTTGGTCGCTAAAAGTGTAAATTGTTGTAGTTAGGGTCTTATATTAAACTATTAGGGTGTTACGTTAAAATATGCATGGATCTTTAATAATATATATGCAAAACCTCAACGGAGGTGAGTGAAAATTTTCATTTAAGTAGCTTATTAGTTCAAAAGGGTAATATAGCCACTTTGAATAGAAAAGTAACGACATTTGTGCTAAATTAATAAATTGGAGGAATCTTGATATTGTCAGCAAAAGTAAGGGAAGTTTCTGTAATTATTGAAACCACAAGGGAGGTTCATGTATTTGTCAGAAACCTTAGGGGAAGTAAGTGTAATTTACCCTTTTAAGTATATATACATTTGGTCAAAATTCACTTTGCACCCTGTGGTATTGCTTCAAAGCACTTTATCCTCTCATGTTTTAAAAATATGCAAATGTCCCACATGATTTTGGACTAAAATGCACAATTAACATTATTTACGGAAAAATGCAAAAAGACTTCTTTACCCTCACTTTTATAAGTGTATTTCCCCTTTCATCTTCTATTAACAAAAAAAAATACAATCACCATTTATGTATTCAACCCAAGCCACTACAACAAAATGCACTTTTGGCGACTATTTTTGGCGACTAAAAAAATTTTAGTCGCCAAAAGTTATGGAATTGGCCACGAAAAATAATATTAGTTGGCAAAAGTCAAATATTTAGCTACTAATTTTTTTTTTGTCGGGGAATATTGATTATTGGCGACTAAAAAAAATTGTAGTCACTAAAAATATCACAATTGGCTACTAAAAAAAATTTTAGTAGCCGTATAGCTAGTTTTGGCTACTAAAATTGTTTAGTAGCCGAATGAAAAAAAAAAAAAAAATTATCTTTGGTGACCAAAAATTTGGTCACCAAAAATATATTTTCAGCGACAAAAGAATAATTTAGTAGCCGTATAGTTAGTTTTAGCTACTAAAATTGTTTAGTAGCCAAATGAAAAGAAAAAAAATATTTTTTATTTTTGGCGACCAAAGTTTATTTTCAGCGACAAAAGATTATTTTAGTTGCCCAAAAACTAAAATATTTGGAGGGAATTTCAAATTTTAGAAGGATTAAAAAAATAATTAGCGACTAAATTTTAGTCGCCAATTGTTATTAATTATTCGACTACTTCAGTCCTCTCCTATTTCACTCTCTCATAATCCCTCTTCTCTCTCTGTCTTTCTCTCAGTCCATCGCAGGCGACCCTCCAACCGGCCACCATACACCACTGTCGCACACGAGCGCCCACCTCCTCACCGGCAACGGTACAACCCACCTCCCCACCAGCGACGACAAAACCCACCATCCACCTCTGTTCATATGTGATTTTTTCAAAAATTAATTTCATATATATATGTATGTATGTATGTGGGTGTAGATCTTCCAGGGTTTTATTTTGATGCGGAGAAAAACAGGTACTTCCTTATCAAAGGCCTAATTTCGGGTTCTTCTCGCAATTCTTCGTCTGCTTCGACTTCATATTCTTCTATCTAAGTCCAATCTGGTAATTTCATTAATTACCCACTTCCATACTTGTATTTTGACCTTGATCATGATACCAATTTGCCTATATATATATATATATATAAGCAATGTATGGGCTAGATCGATGGATCATTCCTGCATCATCCAGCAACTCTGTCAATTGCTTTTGCAATTCAACCAAATCCAACAAACACAACCTTAAAATGCTACTCAACATCCTATAGGAAGTTTTCCAACTCTTTGGCACTTCAAGTTCCACTGAAGGCCTTAGGTTTCAGGACTTTCACTTTATGAAAGACATCACCACCATTGAAATTCCCACCAACGACTTTCTTTACAAGAGACAATTTGTCTGAATTATGCAATTTAAGGCATCCGACATGGCAATCATATCCACCACTGTCGCACACGAGCGCCCACCTCCTCACCGGCAACGGTACAACCCACCTCCCCACCAGCGACGACAAAACCCACCATCCACCTCTGTTCATATGTGATTTTTTCAAAAATTAATTTCATATATATATGTATGTATGTATGTGGGTGTAGATCTTCCAGGGTTCTATTTTGATGCGGAGAAGACCAGGTACTTCCTTATCAAAGGCCCA